TCAATGAGCATATTCGTATAATTTAAGAATTTAACAAATAGTTCGAATTAATTAGACCCTCAAAAAAAGGGCGACTTTCACAAATCTAAAATTTGTCAGCATTCATGGGACACAGGGCACAGAATAGATTTTAAGAAAGCCAAAATTATAATGAAAGAACCGATAGCCTCTAAAAGAAAAATAAAAGAGGCTTTTTTTAATGCAATCTAATAAAAATAAATGTATTGCTCATGCATCTGTAGATGTTAGAAATGTATGGCAATCGCTTCTTTGATTTTAAAGAACATAACATACGTAAAAATTAAAAACAAATTAAAAATAGTCATACAGAAAGTTTGAAGCTTTTTGGTTTTACCTTATAACTACTTGTCATAGATAAATGAAACAAGTTTAGATTGGAAAGTGCCCATAAGGACAATGTAAACACTATTTGGCGCTATTCTTGCAACGGTCGCGACCCAAAACTTTTGAAAATTTCGGAGCGGCTCGGCTTTTTCCGGAATTATATCGCCAAATATTGATTATTCAAATTTATTATTATTTTCTTTTAATTTTATAAATAAAAGACAGTGTTTTGCATACAAGAAACTTTATTTTATATAAGGACGCATGTATGAAATACCTATGAAACATTGGAAACCGACGTTATGCCACGATCCATAGCCACGATCCACGATGGTTTTTGCAGTTCACAGTTCACAGCACAGCTTTTTAAGTTTTTCATGCCACTTTTTCGCAATTATCACCGGTTGGAGTAAATAAAACTTGAATTAAACTCACAAGATAGCAATTATTACTTTGAAAATGGACGCTATAAACACTTTTCGGAATTTCTTGAGAGCGATTTGGATTTTGAAAGATTATTATGATTGTTGAAGATTGTGACTTTGACAAGAGAAAATTATTTCAGTTTTTGTTTGCCGTTGTTCTTAGCGACCGCTATAGCAGCGCCAGATCGCGTATAACGGTCGCGACCCAAAATAATTTCGCGACCCAAAATGTTTACGGGCTTTCCAATCTAAACTTGTTGCATTTATCTATGCTACTTGTTATCACGTAGTAATTGTTAATTTTGAAGTTTAACTTGATATAATGTCATTTTAACAGAACGTCAACGATTTTTGTAGACGTATCTGTTTAAAAAAAACTAAAGTGTTCTCGAATAGTTGTATTTAAATATTTTAAATAGTTCTTTTTCTTTATTTTTTGTATTTTTTTTGCTTCCGACGACGGAAAGAGATAAACTTTCCGAAACGTTAAGCATTTTTTTGTTCGTTAGGCAAATTTGTTAACTGCGGATAATTATTAGTTTCCGTTGGATTAACGCCAGCAGTGTTTACAAAAAAATAACTATTTTATTTTGTAGATTTTCTTGCAGTGGCGAAATACCTATACCGGGTGCGTCTCAAAAGTGGCTCACCCCCTATAACTTTTCTATTTTTTCAGATAAAACAACGAGATTTGGTATGTTAGTATATGACATAAATTGGGATTGATTGAGGTATTCAATTGTTTTCGGTCACTTCCGGTTTCACTGGAAATGACTACAACTTTTGATTTGTAAATGGCGCCCTCGGTATTTTTTTACTATATTCGATAGAAAATGACACTCTGAATCGAATGACATATCATATGTCAATTTTTGACTACTCACTCAAAAACAAATTTTAGTTTAAATTTCAATCTAGAGTGCCATGGCTGTTTTAAAAACATTAATTTTTAATCAAGGAGCCTTGGAAAAATAGATTTGATCGTCTAATGTTTTTGGTGTCTTGTCCTGGCCGGTTAAAAGATGCCCAAATCGTATTTTTAATCATATCTCATTTTTTTCAAATGGAACGAGGGTGGCTCATTAGCATATTTGGAAAAAGCATTTTTTTACAAATAATTTGATACCACACACTTGGTATTTTGAGTCAAATTGTCGTTATGAACCGCATGTTACAATTTCAAATGAACATGTCAAAAGTTGACATATGATATGTCATTCGATTCAGAGTGTCATTTTCTATCGAATAAAGTAAAAAAATACCGAGGGTGTTATTTAAAAATCAAAAGTTGTAGTCATTTCCGGTGAAACCGGAAGTGACCGAAAACAATTAAATACGTCAATCAATCTCAATTTATGTCTTATACTAACATACCAAATATCGTTGTTTTATCTGAAAAAATAAAAAAGTTATAGGGGGTGAGCCACTTTTGAGACGCACCCGGTATAGGATATTTTTTTGGAGAGATGAATCCGCCACATAGATATAGACAATTTTTACATTTATTTATATTAGATTGGACTAGAAAAAAGATTTTATATTTTTCGTTTATAGACTATGGGTTTTTTTATAATTTTTGGATTATTAAAATGTACTTAGTGTCTTTTGTCCAATGAATGCAGACAATTTTTAAGATTTGCAAAAATCACCGATTTCAAAATAATCTTAAAATTAAAATTAATAATTAATTAGTCCACGTGGACTCTCTGCCGCGTGTATATGGGTAGCGATCTATAAAATATATTGCTGTTTATTTAAATATGTTTTGCAATAAATTGATCATACTCCATTTATTGTGTTTGGTTTAGTTTGGATTCAGAATTTAACTAAAATAAATTTGATACTGTACCAACCTTGATTTCATGCATATTTTCATCGATAGGTTTGTAGCTTCTGAATATTACCCAGATAGCACATTTACATCCTCAGAACGTCCTGAGAATATATGTTTAGGACAGATTCAGTACACGGGTGGCCAACTAAGAATGGACGCCGGCTGTATCTCAGAAACTACTTAATGCATAACTTTAGGAAAAAAATTGTAATAAGTAAATCGACGAAGAAAAATTGCTGGAAATTATTTCCAAGTTCGAAAAATGTTCGCTAGGGGGCTTTTTTCTGATAGCCAATCAGCGAACAGGGGTTTTCTAAAAAATATGCAGGTGAACAGGTATTTTAAATATTACTGTTGTAATCATCGATAAATTTTTAATTTTATTGATATAAAGTATTTTGCTCTATCTCACAAAATAATGTGGTGGGGGAAGGTTAAACTTGTTTTTATTAAAATAAGGATAACTCTGGTTTAGGTTACCCGATTTAAACAAACTAGAGCTCGTTTAAAAGAGCTTTTCTTCCTTAATGATTGCCAGTATAAATTTTGTTTTCACAATTTTTTTATGGTACCTAGAGGGCGCTGTTTGACATCATAACAGATATTGCGCTTTTGCATAAAAAAATTTAAATAGGAGGCTATATTTCTCTTTGCACAGTTAAATAGAGCACAACATTTCCAAATTATTAACGCAAACCGCAACTTTTTATCTTCTCTCTAACGGGAGATATCTAATTATAGTAGTAGGTTAGGAAACAAAAAGGTGGTCAAAAAATTACAAATTTCTCGATGATTACAATAGTAATGTTTAAAGTACCTGTTCACCTGCATATTTTTGATAAAAACCCTGTTTTCTAATTGGCTATCAGAGAAACGCCCCCTGGCGGACATTTTTCGAACTTGGCCACCCTGTACTTTACTTATCTTCCTACAAAAATAATTTTACGAAAAGTCCACTAGAACTAACTGGCGTTTTCTTTAATTTCCATTACCATTACCATTATTATTATAAATCGTCGAGTTGATTTAATCCGGAAAATAAATACCATTGGCGGGCGACCCGTTCACGCCCGTTTAAACTTTAATCGGCTAATTTTCCGTTAAATAATGCAAAAAGCCCCGGCCGCCGCGCCGGCTCCGGCCCGGAACGGAAAAAGCGGGGATTAGGCGAAAATCCGGAGGATAACGGCGGACGGCCGGAAAAACTATCGCGGCGCCGAAAATTCAAACGGGAGAATGCTGGGGTTTAAAGGTCGTCGGTGAAAATCTATCTATTGGCCGGTTGACCTCTTAGGTCTGTGATTTAATTCAATAAAGTCAATGTTTCTCTCGAATTCTAGGTTTAATGCTATTGGTATACAGGGTGATACCAAAGTCATTATACAGGGTGGTTCAATAATAGAGGACGTTGGTATACAAGGTGGACCGAACTGTATTCGGGAAACTTCGGCAACATATTCTGCAGATAAAAATATAGATGTCCTTGTCTTTTGGGCCGTAGATAGGGATAGAGATGTCCCCTTTGACCGTTTTCAAGCTGTCGAGACAATGAGAGATTATTGTCTTTTTTCCATAGCGACTGTTAAAATTGCCTTATATCTATCAAAAATAGTAGATAAAATAGTACTTTAACCGCAACGGTAGATTAAATGATACTTTAACAGCGAGGATAGATTAAAAACTTTATTTCTTCTCGCACGTTTTTTAATTGCTTTCATTTTTGAAAATCTTTGTATTCCTTTTCATAAGTTATTCGGGATTTAAATGGAAGTAGTTTGGATATGGCGTTTGTCACCTCAGCCTGAATTTCTGTTTGGTGATTTACTTATTTCTTTTTGAATGCTCCAATTCAATCAGCAATCGACACGAAAGAGATTTAAAAAATATTGACTCAAAACTGACAACTAAAGAGACAGCTTTATTTATTTGTCAAATTACAAATTAGAAACCAACGCAAACCCAGCACAATATTTTTTCTACTCGTAATAAATTCCTTGAAATAATAATTTCTGAATATTTTTTAAAACGTAACTCGCTATGGAAAAAATATTGTTTTATACACGACGATAAAATTGCATTATTGTCTCCCGAAATTAATTCACTCGCGAATTAATCTTTTCGGTCGTTTTGTATAAAAAATAACTTTTAGTTTTGATTATTTTTTGGAGGCAGAATAATAGAGCGTGACAAAATAAATACACTATTTCACTACATAATACACGAAAACTAACTTTTGCTAACGATGTTATAGTATTTCCGAAGTCAATTGGAAGTTGAGACTCTTAATTCCCTTTTGTCCCTCAACTCAATGACGAGGACACAAACTGTCAATGTGGCAGAATCAATAGTAAACAACATAAAGTTATCATAAAACAAATAATAATGTAATGTTGTACCTGTGATAGTGATACCAAGTCCAGGTCCCCTCTTGGCTAATCTAACGGTGAAAACGCCACTAGACGGCACTATAGTGTCCGTGACGTCAAATTCTGAGATTAACGTCACCGTTCTGCCACCCGTCGCGTCTGCACCCATTTCTAGAATGGAGGTGATCTCTTGTAGGGTTAGATTCGTCTGGTGATTGATGGACACGATCCTGTCGCCAACCTGAAGGCATCCACACCTGAAAAGAATTAAAAAAAATTAGTATAAAAATTCCTTAAATTGGGGAATATTTCCCTGTCTTGGCAACGCCGTTTTTGAGATAAGCCCACGGCCACACAGAAAGCGTTTCTAGCGTTTTGCGATTTTACCGTTTTAAGTTTTTTTTTCGATTTGTGTCCATTAAACACACGCAAAAGACGCGGCAGGTCTGCAGTTTCTATCAAGATGTCAATTAGAAACGTCGCAAGCTCGTGGATTTCCGGCCCGTTCAACAATCAATCCTGTGAGAAAGAGGTAGGCGAGATCGGCGTCGTTAGCGTTGAAAAGACGAAGATAAAAGATGCTGGGATTGAATTGAGGACGGGCCGGGGCCCATATATTCGGAGACAAACACAATCTACTGCTAGACCAGGGGTGTGTAAAAATAATTATTATTTGCCATTTATTTTACGAATTTTAGTTTATATTATGTGTATAGTTTTTTTTATGTTGTAGTGTTGTGGTTAGTACTTGTTATAATTATAATATAATATAATAAATAATTATAATTATACAGGGTTGTTCACCACATACGACACGGAGTATTGTAGCTAAACGATTAGATTTTTACAAATTGTAAGTTTTGGGTTCATTGAAGGACTATTAGAGCTACAATTTAAAAATATTTTTACAAGATACAGAGTGTCCCAAATAAGTAAAAAAACATTATAGATGTATTTTTTAAATGGAACACCCTGTATATTATTCTATTTTTAGATTCTATGATTAAAATAAAGATGAATTTGATTAAGGTTTATCATACTTAAACCTTACCGTTTTTGAAATATTTTCAATTTTATGAAATTGCAGTAAACATTTTAAGGCTTCATTTCTTCAAGGGTATCAAAGTTTATAAAACTAAATATTTACTAAAGATTATTTATTGATCAGATATTGTGTTGCAATAATTAAAATTCTACTACTTTAAACAGAGTGTCCACAAAATTATATTAAATAATTACTAGCTTTAAACGGCAATAACTTGCAAAATAAAAACACTAAATCACCACAATACACCAAAACACTTTTACTTTTATACTGGACGCGCGTTTCGCTAACCATGTTAGCATCATCAGCAGATGATTATAAACTAAGGTACAATCTACAAGTTGAGCGTTTATATACTCGCCCAGTGGGCACCGAGTGGGCGTGGCAAAAACTAGCCAACCGAGTCAGAGCCAACTGAGCGTAACAGTTAGATCAGTGCCATCTATTAAAAGATCAGCCTACGGGCGGACTTTTGTTTACTTCATCAGCTGTACATACTTAGATATTGGGTTAGATTCCGTTACATATTTTGTCGGTTGATTTTTGGTTTTAACTCTTTGATTTTTGGTATTATTTATTATTGTAGTGCAAAAAACTAATTATTTTGGTGTTGAAGTGACATAAACTACTACCGGATATATGGTCACTCTCGGTTTCGCATAAAAAAATAGAGATTTTAAAAATTACACGTTGTGCAAGTGATTTAACCTAAAAGTGCCCATACATTTTTTACTTATCGTGATTTTTATGTGTGTTTTTTAAGACTCTAACAATTCATCAATAAAGCTTAAGTGGAGTGTGTTATTGGTGCTATGCCTCATCTTTGTTGTGTTCCTGGTGGAAAGGATAGTTATTATACTAGGCAGCCTAAAGTGTCCGGAAGAGCAAGAAAAGTGGGTACGAGTTATAAATCAAGAGAATTTTATTGAAAATATCTTTAATAAATTTAAAATAATATTCTCCCATGATGGTATTAATGAAAACTGGACAATTATGTTTATTTTATTCATATTGTGGAATCTCCACTCCAAGTGGTGCTGGTTCAGCTTCGATAGATTCAAACACGTAAGTAGGTATTATGAACTAGGGAAAAATATAAAGAATGTGTGTATTAGAGATCATGAAAAAGATTATTATTTTGAGTTCAAATTTTAAAAAGATTTTTGTAAAGACAAGACTGATACAGTTTAAAAAAGAAGAATGTGTTTTTGTTTGATAATATATAATGTATGTTAAGCATAACATATATTTGTTCAGTAATTTTAATGAATAGTAATGTATTATTTATAATACCAAATTAATATCAAATATTTAAGTGATGGCTGAATACAATATGAATAAAATAACAATAAAATTGGTATATTTGCATAATACAAAATTAAGTTTTAAGAATAAAGGTGTTACTAAAAATACTAAGAAATTCATATTTATTTGTTTTAATTGGTCTAATGTTATTTACATTTTATGTAAGAATTATACCGTATCATCGAAAAAAATCGGCGTCTAGTTGGCTTGGAAATGAACATCGATGACATGCCCTAAATAACTGTACACATAAAATAATTAACTAGAATTTTACAATCTTGGAAAATTTGATATTCTTGAATCTTGTTTCTAAATATACTAAATTTTTTGATTTTCTTGGGATTTAGGTTCGGGAAAAACGCTGATTAAGTTTTCATTTGGTTTTTCATTATTTTTATTTGGTTTAAAAAAAAAACGGTTCGGCTAACATTATAGCCTTCATCAGTGTTGTGTCATATGAAAAAAATAGTGTCGAATATAATCCAAAAAATTACATATAAAATATTCATACCACGCACATAATGTTTACTGCGTACTGCGTACTCCATAGTCAATGTAGATAATTTTAGTGTTAAGAATAATAATTTTAAAAAATATGTGGTCATGTTTTGATTAGTTTATATTAGTTTATTAATTGCAGTAAATATTATGAGGTGTGAATTATATTGTATATGTAATTTTTTGGATTATATTCGACACTATTTTTCTCATATGACACAACACTGATGAAGGCTATAGTTAGCCGAAACGTTTTTTTAAACCAAATAAAAATAATGAAAACCCAAATGAAAACTTAAATCAGCGTTTTTCCCGAACCTAAAAATCCCAAGAAAATCAAAAATTTTAGAATAATTTTACATATAAAATGCCAGCGATCTTCATTTCATAGCCATCGCTGACGCCTTTTTTAGATAATATTGTATTATTTGTAAATATAATTTTTCGAAGATTGATACTTGCAAGATATACATATAAATTTTGTGAATGCAAATAATAATACATCACTATTATTAGATATTGAATGTTTTTTGTTAAATTAGATCGATTTTCAAACCCCAAAATTTAAAATATATTTACATTTTACCCATTATGTTATGTACCTATACACTATTTGTACATCGTAAAACATTTGCTGCATTTGTATGGTTCATAGTTTATTTGCCAAAGTATTTATTACTATAAATAGGTATATATGTTGTAGTTATTAACTGTATATTATGTATATTTCATTTAAACTATATCATTTTTAAAATACAAACCAAAAATCTGAGGAATAATTATGTTTTCCATGTATTCTACAACATATTTATTAATCCGTTATATCTAACTAGCGTGACGTCACAAATCTCGCCCGTAGGCTGATCTTTTAATAGAAGGCACTGGTTAGATTTCCGCCACTAGAGTAGTAGGAACAAAGAACTTGAAGGAATTGGACCGTTGTCTCTGTTCATACTATCTTTACATTTATTAATTCTGATGCTTTCATATGCATCTAATTGCCTGTAATTTGAGACTTGTTTAATTAATTTTAAATTATTAAGATCTATACAATGTTCTTTATCAACAATATGTTCGGCAACGCAAGATTTATCCGGTCTACCATATCTTATCTGAGCTAAATGTTCTTTAAATCTAGTTAATATTGATCTTCTAGTTTGCCCAACATATTTCTGATTACAATCTTTACAAGAAATTTCATAAATACCCGACCTTTCCAGTGGAGATGTTTTTATCCTTTGGATTACCTAATAATTGTTGTAATTTATTATTAGCACTATACACAAGTTTATAATTGACATTCTTAAAAATTCCTTTTAGACCACGGGTTAACTCTATATCAAACGGTATCGAAAAATATTTAGACGTATCTTTCTCCACTTGAAAAGTCGAATTTTCAGAAATCATTAACCTATACCTACGTTTTCTAATTAATTTATCAACTAGTAAAGGGGAATATCCATTACACTCAGCTACATTCCTAATGTAATCTCTTTCTATTTCATATCTTTCGTTGGAAAGTGGGATTTTGCTGTTTAACACCAAAGGTTCCAACCCTCAACTGTAATCAGGCAATAACTTGTTTAATTTAAATGGAACACCCTGTATATTTTACGTGAATCATATGCATAATTTAATTGTCTATAAAATTGTATATACCCATCTCTTCAAGTTTTCGTAGAAAATGCATTTTCTTATAATTTAGACCTCATTAATCACTATACCTATGGAATATTGACATCTTAGATTATTTTTAAAGATGTAACAAATTTTCAAAGAGTACAGACACTAATATTGTCGATATAGTTCGCTTATTTCATTAAAAAATAAAATAAAAAAACTGTTGTAATTGTAAATATTTTTTGTTAAAGAGGACCAATTAATATGATCCCAGTATTCAAACTACATTAATTGACTGTTTACGTTGATTAATAATAATTGCTTCAGAACTGAAAAACTGAATTTTGTGTGTATATTAGACACTGTAGTAAAAAGTAACACCTTATAAATTTTATTTCATTTTTTGACGAATGCTAATTTATAAAAACAGAGACGTTCATTTTCAAAACTTATTATTATATTGATTTCTGAGCCAAATCCACATTTATTTAGAATACTTTATTAACTAAAATAATTTAAAAGTATGTAACTAACTAATTTTTGGTCGAAAATAATGGTGGTATATTTAATTGGTATACTGTTTTACAAAGATTTAAATAGCTTTTTTGTATACCAATAGGCTTGCAATATTCACCACCTGTATGTTTTGTACATATGTATGTCGCTTCAAAAAAATGTCGAATGTCAATATTCCATAGGTATAGTGATAAATGAGGTCTAAATTATAAGAAAATGCATTTTCTACGAAAACTTAACGAGATAGGTAAAAAATGGTATAATATAATTTGA